ACCTCGACCTACCTCGACCTACCTCGACCTACCTCGACCTACCTCGACCCCTGGACTCTTTCCTCCCCCGTCGGATCGCTCTTGCCGGTGCCCAAGGCGACTCCATTTGTCCAGCTGTGCGTGGCTCCACCGGATCGCCTCGCAGCAGGGTCGCACGCGCTACGCGGCTCGGATCGGAAGAGGGACACCCGGTGTCCGGGCGGAATGCTGGGAAGGAGACCCAGCACATGTTTGGAGGGAAGACATCCTGGTGATCTGTGATACTTCTGTGATCACCAAGACCTGGGAATGAGGTGATTTCCATTCCGAAATGGGGTGATCTGTGATTCCGGAATCTTTTCTCCAACCCTTCGATGACGGTCGTCTTCGGTCTCGGTTGAAGGGTCGGGTCGGGGTGTCCAAACATTCCAGCAGACAAAAATCATGCAGACCCAAAACCCATATGGGGGTTTGATGTTTTTCCCCAAGCAGTTGACTGTTTTTGACACACATTAGGTCCAAAAGAATCGTTTTGACCCTGTTTGGGGTCTAATGCTGGTGTTTTTCGGGTTCGCGCGCACCGAACGCTTGAAACGCGCTCGTGATTGGGGTGTACCGGACCCGGTCCGGAGTGCGTCCCTTGCGGACGCCAGGTGGACCCACGGACGGGGCTGGGTGTGTTCACGGCCACTGCCTTGAAGACCGGGGCGTGCTGCGGCCTTCATTGCCGGCATTGTCCGCATGGTCAGGGGCCAGGCAAGGACCAACGGCCAGACGATCAGAAAGCAGCGCATTCCTGGACGTTGTCAATTGTATTGACAGTAATTACTGCAGACTTCCTGGTTGAAACCATACTATATGTTGACTCCTGACCAATTGTGCTGAAATTGAAACTGCTGAAAAAAAAGACTTTTCCCCGGCCAGGCGGTCTGCTGACAGCCGAAGAGAAAATTACCATGCTGGATTGGTGACCAACTGGTGAATGGGCGAGTGAGAGCTCATTCAGCGACCGACGTCTCGTTGTGAGCCTTCTTTTGGATTTTGTCACTTCCCCTTTCGAAGGTAGAAACATTCTTTGGGTTGTGTATTCTGCCGCAAGGTCAGCAAGTGGAAAGCACTCCCCGTAGCATAGCTCGCTGTGGATGCAAAATTCGCATCTTGGCATAGCATTCTTGGAGGGGTCACTTGCAGAAGGGTTCCCCGCAATATAGTTCGCTGTGGATGCAAACATGCATCTTTGCAGCATCTTTGGAGGGGTTTTATTCAAATCCTCACATTTACCCATTTGGCAGATCCTAGAGGGGAGGCGATCGGAGATGGCCACCCATGCGAAGCTTTTTTCCGGCCTAAACGATATTCGGATCCTTTCCCTTTGGCGATGCATAGAAAAACAATTCTAAAATAATATATATAAATTATATAAAAACCAATATATATTTTGCATTATAATATTTATTACTTCATTAAATATAAAATTATAAATATTTTGTAATTGATATATAAATATATATATATTTATTTATTTATTTAGTTATTTTTAATTAGGAATAAATGTTTATTCGTTTTGGATGATAAATCGTAAATATATGGAAATGATTTATTTGTAAATTACGAAAGGTAGTCTTTTAGGGGATATTTTTAGTTTATTTTGCGAAGTAATTGTTGGGACGTCCGGGTTTAGTAATTGATCGTTTAATTTAGATTCGTATATATTTGAATATTTAAAATATATATAAATTAATATATATTTATGAAAGGGTGCTTCCGAGGAAATAAATTACTATGTCGAACATTGCATTTTTGTTTTTATTTTTTACGTTCTTTTTTCTTTTCGTTATTTTATTTTTCGTGTTTTTTTCTTCTTAAATATTAAATATTTAGATTCGTAATTGAAATAGACATATTTAAAAATATATTATAACAATTATATATATTTTTTTAAATTTATATCTATTTTAATATATAATATAATTAGGATTTAAATATTTTGATTTATATTTATTTATTATTATTTAATAATATATTTATAATCTATATTTTATTAAACATAAAATTATATATATATTATATATTACTAATTTTTATTAATTATATTAAATAAACCATATATTGAATATATTTTATTTATAAATTTCTTTATTTAAATATAAATTAGATATTGTTTTAATATTTTGAAATATAATATTTATTGGGGTAAAGGAAGGTAAATTAAATATAGTTGTTTTTTTTCTTGGAATTAGGAATTAAGTAAATCGATTATTTTATTCTTAAAATTTATATTATTTTATATTTGATATAATTAAATAAAATCAAATATTTATAAAGATATAACTATAGATTATATTAAAATCTTAATTATATTTAATTTTCTTTTGCAATTATTTTAATTATTAATAAATATATATATTAATGAATTATACATAACGAAGGTAATGTTTTGCATTCTATAATGTTAAGTCTATTTCTTGAATTTGAACGGCTTGCAGGCCCATCAATAGATAGCCCATGCCACGACAATTGAGGAACTTCCAATTGCTAAGAAGGGACGTCCCATTGATGTAGACATCATTGCCACTCGCCTTCGTGCCACAATCACTGAGATTCTTTTCGAGCACCTTGGACGGAAAGCTATAGTTAGCCATCTTGAAATGTTCATCAAATTGGTAAACCCAACTCGTTCTCTTTTCGCCCAAATATAGATATGTTTCGAGGACGTTTGAGCTGCATATATTGTAAAGCCAGCTTCACTATGACATTTGCCCTCAAGAATCATTTTGACAGAGGCACATGCCCAGTCCTTTTGATGAACTGGGTTAGGGATGCACACTATGGTCCCAAGGTCGACAGTGTCTAGCCACCCATTCTGCCCAGCATTTCGATCCTGCTGCCGACTCAGGGAATGCATCAGACTTGGAGCTGCGGTCTCATGCTCGGCACCGATCGTCATTCGAGCATGACCTTGAGACATCAATTGCCTTCATCCGTTGATCGATATCTCCCATTCCCCCTGAACGTCGATTGCTTTGGTACACCGATGTCATGAAATGGACGATTCACTTTCCGGAATTGCCTTAGGTTGCCTCCACTTGGGCACTGTGCCCTTCATTGTTCGCTGGATTGGGGAACAGCTCCCCGTGCACTGGGCCTGGAACTCAGACAGCCCTGGCACCTGGTGGGATCCGCACATGATCCACATGGACACTGACCCGCATGATCAAATCAGTTGGTATTGCACAGCCATCCTAGAATTCGAACACGCATTGGCTAGAGACTTTGTGCTGTCACCCGCCGCTGCGGAGCATGGACGACAATATGTCAATGGACGACATATCATTTGCAGATCTCCTGGATACATGCCAAGGCCATCTCAAGCGCCCCCGCACGGAGCCAGAGTCATCTCAGGGCAAGCAGCTGGGAAAGGCAGATCGAAACACCGATCCGACTCCTGAATCACCTCTTCGAAGTAGGAAGGGGATTCGGAGCTTTTGATGATGCTAGTCAAGCTGACCTTGCGCCAGGAAGACATGATCAATCAGATGGCCTTGGACAGAAGCTTCCTGCTGTTTCTGCAGGTCGGACGGGGTTCCATCCTGCCGGACATGATCCTGGCCGCCAAGGAGTGGCATCATCAACGACAGAATACGGGTGTCATCTGCTCCCTTCGCCAAGTCAATTTTCTCAAAGTGGTCGAGAATCTGATTCAGAGACTGACGAAGTTGAAGTACGACAGCCCGGACGATCCCTTGGTCGAAGCCCTTCGACAGAAAGGGATTCTGACAGCCGAGAACGCCTGGAACTACCTCTCCTGGGACAGTGCGGCAAAATGCCTTCGACCAACCAAGAAAGCACCGCTACCGCAGGAGAAGATTCAAGAGCTTACAATACAGCTCTCACAGCTGGCCAATCAGGGAGATCTGATCCAACGCTTCTCAGTTCTCAAACCCATGAACCGAGATCAGACCCCGGACGATTCACAAGTGACGATACCCTGGCGCCTCGACCTCAGCCTCCGGAGCGCAGCTTCGACCCAATTGTTCGAGCTGCTCAACACCTTGAGCGGAAACGGGATCTGCCAGCTGATCCTACTGCGCCTGAGGCCAACCGGCCTGCAAAGATCCCCGCTTGCTACCGCAATCGCCCACCGTGTGAAACGCTGATGCGCTAACTGCTTCGAACCAAGCTCTACAATTCATCCAATGCCTGCTACATCAATGCGGCATTGCTGGGGCAGCTTTGCACTCTGGCCTATGAGGATTTTGATCCTGAACTGTGGGGTCAGTGGAGGACACCTCTGCTTGAACTGCTCGACACCCCAGAAGGTGTGGATCTTTGTGCTTCAGCTCCTTTTCAACGCCTGTTGCAACCTTGGTTCAATGACCATGCACCCACTGACCAACAGGATGCAACAGAATTTTTGGGTTGGCTCCGAGGACAACACCTCCTTGGCCATGTTTCGGGACAGGAGTCCAATGGCTGGCAAACACGCCTGGCCCACTCCACTGAAGACCGAGGTGCACTCCTTGCACCCTTGCTCCTTCGTATGCCGGAAGAAAAGAGATGTGACCTGCAAGTTTTGATCAACATGTGGCATTGTCAGGAACCATACACGAATGCCTGCATCCATGCCATCCATGCATAGTATTGCAACTCGAAAGATTTCCTGCCCTTGCTTTGAAGCGAGACACACCCGTGGACTTCTCTCGTGCTGAGGTCCACGTACCGCTCTTCAACAATAGCATAGGTAGGGATGTCAGCTGGCTTCAATACCGAGTGGTGGCCATTGTGTGTCATTTTGGAGATGATCCTTAGTGCGGCCACCGCCAATGTCTTTTTCTCAGCTCAGGACGCTCTTGGCTGACTGATGATGGCAAGACGGCCACCAGGTGCCCGGTAGTTGATCCCATCCGTCGATCAGCCTATTTGTTCTGGCTGATTCCGCAAGATGATGTGAACTTGTGATGGCGGAGACCCATCGAGAATACGACCGTCGACCTGTCCGACTTGCTGGCTACGACCTTTTCCGAATGAGCCTTTTGCACCTTTTCGCATTCGCAAGCTTCGTGATTGTGGCTAGATGCTCTTGAAATACCCGCAGCTTAGTTGCTATGCTGCCCAACACGGGCCTGATCTCACTCAGGCTGGAAGTGAATGACGGAATATTTTAAATGTATATCTGCCTAAATTTTATAGTAATATGTACAAATTTTCAACTTCTTACCATCGTAGAAGATTCGGCATTTTATATAATTTCGATCGAAATGATATGTATCGCCAATTCGAATTACGTAAATTATTTAATTTTTATTTAAGGATAAATTCATTATTTTTCCTACAACACATTAAAGATATCCCATTAAACTCTGTCGGTCATTGATTTCAATTTCGGATTGATCCTGAAGGTCACGATTGAATCAATTGAATTTCATGATTATGAATTTGTAGGTATTGATTGTAACTTCATTGGAGGTTGTTTGGTTATTATTTTCTATTAAATTTGATTTCATTTGTTCATCCAGACCTTGATTTTCACGATTATAATCAAATAAATCATATCCATTCGAAGGTATCAGAAAAGAAATGGGAGGATCACAATTTAAATCATAATTATTAATAGGATTTATATTTCCTAAATAATTGTAGAAGGTAGAATTTTGGGGGAGGCCGAGATTGCAAGGTTAATTGTATTGCGCGAACATCTTTTTTTTCATTGTAAATATCTTAATATTATTCTTTCTTGTCCAAATATTTTTAATATTTGAAATTTGAAAGGATCCATTTCCCTTCATACGAAATTCATGAATGCGAAGGCGATCAGGGAATACGTGGATAGAATCAAATCTGTTTAAATTGTCAATATATTATTTTTCGTTGCTAATCTAAATGGATTTTGACCTGGCAGGTCTTAAAATTATCTTGGCATATCAAGATATCTATAATTGTTTCTTATTTGTTCCCGAAATAATCCGAATTT